TGGTTTCGGGCAAGGTATGGTGGCAGAAGTGGAGGCTCCGTCCATGGCGCGGGAGACACCTACGTCCTCGCCCTCAGATGAGGAGGCGGCCTCTTCGTCCGCATTTTTATCATCCTCCGGCTCCCTGATTTGAAGGAGCTCAAGTCCTCTATCTCCTCGCAGAACTCTTCCACTACTCCATAATCCAGGGACTTGGCGGAGGCCTCGTCGTCATACGGGTAGTATTCATCGTCCAAAGTTTTCATCTTAACAGCTAAAGAAACCCTAAAGGGAGCTACTTTGGATCTAAGGTTGATTTTTCACTAACACTAGATCAAGGCCATAGGGAAGCAAAATATGCAAGAAATCGGAGAAGGGTTTGATGAACTGACCTTTGAAGTTTTGTAGAAACGGAAGAACACCGTCGAGCACTTTATCTCTCTAGAAATTTGGGCAACACTTCGTTCTATGAGAATGCAATAGGGAGCTTCTTCGGATGAAGGGGGGGTATTTATAGACCCCCCCTCACGGTCACCACATGTGGCGCTCCCCCATTGGCCACACGAACGGCCACCACTCCCAAGACCCATTGGGCTGCCACCGGTTCAGAAGATGGGTCAGGCCCACTTCCATCAGTATCTGTCCATCGCCAACGTGCCAGTAATCAGCGTCCATAACGGCCAACCATTCAACGGCCACGCCAAGAAGAAATATCTACCTCCACATGGCACTATACATCAGCCCTGGTAGCCAATAATCATTTCAACGGCTGGTCACACCACGGTGTGCCCATATCGCCTTAACACATTACCAACAAAGGGCCCTTCAACGGCCACAACAGCAAAGCACAAAACAATCCAACAACCATCGGCCTTGTATAAAGCCCCTGATGATAACTTCTTGAAAGCAACCTGCGTCCAAGGGTTCTCCCACAGGGTTACCTTGGTCAGGAATCGCCAAGGGGTTGAATTCAGGGGAATACAAGGACCCCACTTCGGCCTAGGGTTACACTCTACTCCTTCACCCCTCGCTTACTCTTCGGCCTGAAGTAGTGGGGGACTGGGGGACTACACTGGCCTCTGGAATACAAGAGAGGACAAAATCAAAAAATCCAAAAATACACCAAGTCCGCAACTACAACATTAGATCATATATGCACTATGACGTCCACGACCTTGTGGTGCACCTTCGGTCGCAACAAAGTCAGCAAACAAAGAACTATAACTCCCCCCAAAATGTAACATGTATCATCCCTGGACGCGCGCCATTCAACGGCTTTGAGATCACACACTCCACTCTCGGCCAAGAAATGAAAATAGGAACCCAACGACCTCGGGTCACCATAGTCCATGAGATCAGAACACACACTACTTCTTCTGGATCAATAACGCTATCGTCCTCAAAGATGGACAACTACGAATACCACCGCTTCGGCATATGGCACAAAAGCAATCATTTGGCCTCCTCGGCCAAGACACCAAAAGCAACTGCCAACGACTAGAAAGAAGAAACATCACCCGCATCAGATCAAGAGCACATATCGGCCACTGAGCCAGGACACTCATCGTCCTCAAACAAACAAACTTACCCCATCAGAGGAACATCAGCCTTCTTCGTCCACAGCGAAAGGCATACAACGGACAAACACGAAGAACCAACAGGAAATAGCCACAACGGCCATAACGGCGAGAAGACACCAAAACTATGGAATCTACTCTCCCTCACTTCGTCTACATCTCAGCTCAGAGAGTGGGGGACTCGTGATGGAGTATATGAGCCTGGACCCCAGGACCCACATACTTTGAAGAATGAGAGGCACAACTGTCACCCAGTGAGGCCTTCGTCGGCCAGATGGCCCTCAACCGGCCAGAAAGATATCAACTCAGAACATGGTCCAGAAGCTAGAAGAACCGGGTGTCCCCGTCGGCTGGGGCTCCGTCGGCCATGGCTCCATCGGCCACAAAGGGCTCCCAGAACCGGACTTCACACTTAATTATTTCTACATATTTTGTACTCAGCCCAATAGTGGCCCAATTGTAAATGGGCCTCCCAAGCCCAAGACTTGGGAGCCCAACCCTAATTTTCTCTATAAATATTCCTCTTGGGAGTAGTTGTAGGGGGTTCACAAATCATTTATTGCAAAGAGTTATTGCACTTATTTCTCTAGCTCCCACTTCTCTGTAGGAGTTAATACTCAATCGAATATTTTTTTTTGGGGATATCTCTCTTCAATCGATTTCAATGCATGCTCTAGATTGCAAGGTTGATGATTGAAGAGACTAAACGATATGAGAAGACTTTCTACATGTGTATCTAGAATATTCCTAAATCTCTATAATATAATGTCTTACCATAGAGTCTATTTTCTCATCAAGATGATGGGGTTTATCATCATGACCCTCGCATTCATCTTGAAGCACAAAATTATACAGTTCCCCTTCATTTACTAGGATAATACCATTTTGATTGAATACATCTCTTATATCCTCTTCAGATTTACTTCTTGTGAGCGGGACCCCGGATTTCTGAAACAAATATATCATAAAACACATTCTAGGGAGCAGACTTCTCACTTCAAAATTACACTGAGGACGGCAGTGAAATCACTCGCCTCGTGTAGACTTTTAAGGCTATGTTGAAGACAAGTCCATGTCTTTGTTGACTTGTTGTCCTCAGAAAGGAACTTACAAGAGACTTAATACTTTCGGTATCAGAAAAAAGTTGTATATACAATTCTTGCTAACAAATAAATAAATGAACAAATCAATCAATGAAATGAATAAATGAATGAATAAATAAGTAAATGAACAAATATATAGGAAAATTCTCAGGTCCAAACGTTCGGACCTGAGGCGCTGTTCGAACACCGTCGTTCGGGGCGGTTTCCGATGGAATTATTTTATGAAATTTTTATGGTATGTTCCTCATCAAGTCTAGTTTATCCAAAAAAAATCAGCTCAAAATTCGATAGGGAAGGCCGTCAAATAATTTTTGGAAGTTGACTGCGTTTTTCTATGTATAATTTTGCGCAGTCAACTTCCAAATATTATTTGAAGGCCTACCCTATCGAATTTTGAGCTGAAATTTTGTGTCTATAAACTAGACTTGATGAAGAACATACCATAAAAATTTCATCGAAAAATTCCACCGAGAACCGCCCCTAACGGCGGTGTTGACGTTTGGACCAAAACATGCTGGACACGAGAATGACTAAATATATATTTAAATAAATAAGTACTATATATAGATAGATAGATAAAATGTATATATATAGAGTGCATTTCACGGCCAGGCCGGACAGGACCTCCGTCTGGCACGTTGTTCCCGGTCGTATTTTTGGCTGAAATTTTTTGTGTATGTTCATCATCAAGTCTGGTTCATTCATATCAAATTTCAGCAAAAAATTCAATCGTAAAGGTCGTAAAATGATTTTTGCATGAAAATTGGTCCGGAACAAATACACACATAAAGTGCGTGCCTTTTCTACGTACCCGGGTTCGGGCATGTTTAGATGAAAAATTCTTTAGGATTACACCTAGGGGTACACCCTAATCCCTATATAACCCCCCTCCCCATTTTTTATTGGTGACAACTCCGGTACCATTTAAAAAATTGGGTACCGTACCTACCACTCACTTGATTGGTTCAAATCATTACATCATTTTTAATTTAAATTTAAATAATTCAACTACATCATTATGATTGATCAATGTGGACAAAAGTATGATACCTTAAGGGTACCATAGAATCCACCTTTTTTATTTTCTCTCTTCCCATTTTTTCTCTCCCCTCCCTCCCCACTCCCTTCTCTCCCTTTTGCACCATACGAAACCCCCCTCCCCCTCTCCATCATCTTGTTTTTTCTTCATTTCTCCTCTTTCTTTTTCATCTTCTTCTTTTTCTTTCCTTTTCTCTTTTTCTTTCTTTTTACGTTTTATTCACCTTCATCATCTTCATCTTCTTTCTTTCTTCTTCTTCATCGTGTTCTTCTTTTCCATTCTCTCTTTTTCTTTTCTTTTTACGTTTTATTAGCTAAGTTTAGAAACGATTCCTTTGAAACATTGTTGTTCATCATCATCATCTTCTTCTTCTACTTTAATTCTTTCTTTTTACGTTTATGCACATCGACACTGATTAGCTCTAAGTGTCTGTGTACACAGACGAAAATTGCATATGTATAGACACTTTGGTTTCTACACAGACAACTAGTGTCTGTGTACACCGACACTTTGCAAACCAATTTTTTTCACACCGCCACTTTTTTGTCTACACAGACAACTAATGTCTGTGTACACCGACATTGGTTTCCGTGCAACCAGTCTGGCAGACCTGAAAACTAATTTTATTCACACCGACAGTTTTACTGAAAGTGTCTGTATTTGTACGATTTTTGTCTTTGCGAATGGAAAATAAATGAGGTGTAACCTAGGGTGTACACCAAGAATTTCTCTGTTTAGATCGTAGATCGATCTCAAATTCCACAACCGCCTTTGTCTTCTCCAAACATTCGTTGCAGGGACAGACCTTGGAAAAATCTTAAACGGGTACCTCTACTACTGGCACTTCCACCCTTACATGACCAGGCATTCTTTAAAATTTAACGACGGAGACTTATGATGGGAAGGAGATGGCGTTAGTCGGCTTAGTGTTTTGAGCCTAGATTTGGTTAAATTAATTTGTTTGTTCTGGTCAAACTGAACATTGAACCCAAGTACTTATTTGATTCGATTCATGGAACAATAAATTATTGAGAAAATGGTCAAATAAAGCCTTCTACTATTATGAAATAGTCGCATAAGACCATGTACTCAATAAAGTGTCATATAAGTACATCTACTTGTAAAAAACAATCAAATGAGTCTTGATGACCTATTTAACACAACTTAATCCCGGTTTCAACGTACTTCTGACCATCTTTTTAGAATACATTATACGACATATGTCGAATATTTAAATAAGATTGGTTGAAATACAAGTCAAAAAAATCGACATGTAAGCTAAAATCGGGATTATGAGGTGTTAAATAAACCGTTAGGACTCATTTGATTGCTTTATACAAGTATATGTACTGAAATGACACTTTGTTGAGTGTATGGCCTTATGTGACTATTTCATAGAAGGCGGACCATTTTCTCTAAATTATTTTGCCCCATTAATTACGGAGTATCAACTAACACGTGCACAAAGCCAATAAGGCCACATTATATAGCACAAAATTCAGCTACATTGCCCACTAATAACCTAACTATTCACGCACTGTACGTAATATTTTTGTTAATGTTCATATAATGATAATAATAATAATAATGTAGGACTATGTCACAAGAAAAAATGAAATATTGTAAATAACAAATTCAATACACGCTTCGTTGATCCCCCTCGACCCTTCTCCGGGTGACCCGAATGTAGCAATAAACCGCCGCGAAAAGGGCAGTGACAAGACCGCCGATGATGACTTCTCCGCCGGCTACAGATTTACTGTAGTGGTGGTGCGCTGTCAGGCTCTCCGGTGCTTCAGCTTCTTCCCCAGAATCTCTTCTTTCTTCCGACCCGGGAACCGGCGGAACCGCTATGGTCCCTCTTAGCAAAAGCCTTCTTGGGTATGTCTCTGAATCAGTAGATCCAGCCGCCATAGCTTCCATCACTAGCATTCCAAGAATCGCTAGGCATACAAAAGAAATTCTTGCTGCCATTGCGGGAAATATATGTTTATAAAAAAATAAAAAAAATTATAGTGGCAGGGATCTGGTTCAATAAATGAAGAACTTTGGTCTGGTCCAAAGCTTCTTGGCATTGCAAGAGGGAATGGGTAGTGATATTATATAAATAAAGGGTCGAGTGGGCAGAGGAATGTGAGGGGTGGGGGTGGGGGTGGGGGGCTTGAAATTTGGTACACGTTAAAGTCCAGCCAGGCCGGTGTCACTACTTGAAGTGACACGAGACAATATTACTATATTAGTATCCCTAATTATTTTATTAGAACGGCCTCAATAGAATAAATTATAGATTAGGACAGCTGCCGAACTTTTTAATAGAGGAAGTGATTCAAATAATTAAATAATGAGTCCATAATTTCATGTCAAAACTTAGCTTAATATAAATACATTAGACAGATGAACTAGCAACCATATCTCTAATATTATGTTGCAAGTATCCGTTTGAAGGAGGCGACATCAACTCGGAATGAATTCTTCAAATGGCCTACGCTACATTTTACTCGACACTAAGGGCATTTTTTATACCGACTACAACAGCTGAAATTATTGAACTGATTGAAATGATTGAAATATTGAAGTGAGAGTGTTTGATATTATTCTAGCTGAAGTGGCTGATTGAATGTGTAATTAACGTAAAGAGTATTAATATTTTAAAACCATATTTGTTGGTAGAAAATAACCCGGGTAGAAAATTCGGCAGCATTTCAGTATAGTGAGAATAACTCCGCAGAATACAAGGGGTTGATGGCCTATTTATAGACGTATACAATATGCCCACCAATTAAGTGCTACGTGGGTCTGGCCCGATTAATCTACTATTACTAACGCTAATGGGCCAGCAAGCCCAATAAGTAATTGAATAATCCCGGGCCAATATCCGCTAGCCGGACTGTGATGTGAGCTTGGTCGAGCCAAAGCTCGGGTGTAATGGGCCGATAGTCTTGGACCCGTCCCATTATCCCAACACGAGTCCCCCACTCCCTTAGTCGAGTAGTAGACTCGGCTAAAAGGGAGTAGTTAAGCTGTTTTGGAATTGGTCCGATTCTTGGTCCGGTCGGTCGGTCATTGGCGAGCCTTGAATTAGATCCAATTGCTTGTGAAAGAATGGAGTCTTCCTTGTTCCGACTGGGAGACCTCTTCTTTTGTTCATGATGAGGGGGTGCCTCGTTAAAACCTTACTAGGAAAAAACCCAGTGGGAAAAAATCCCAGTAAAGGAAAAAGAGTACACCGGAACCTTAAAATAAAGCAAAGGAAGGCTAGTCTCCTCGGTTCTTGATTGAGTGTATGCTTTACTGGTAAGTTGAGATATGTTTCGAGAAGGCCAGTCCTACGGTTGTTTGCCAGTGGAGGCGGTCGAGCCAAGGTATGCTCGGGAGAGACTAGTTGCACAATTGTCTGTTGATGACGCAGAACCGAGGTGTGCTCGGGAGAGGCCAACGACTCAACTGTCTGTCGATGATGTCGAGCTGAGGTGTGCTCGGGAGAGGCCAACAGCTCAGTTGTCCGCTGATGGTGATCAGGTGAAGCATGCTCTGAAAAAGCCGGTTGCACGCTGTCCACATTATTCCCCGCTGCTTGCGAAAGGATTTGGTTTCCTTCGTCTGGGTAGCAGTCCGGGTCTTGTTTGTTCGACCAGCAGCCCCGGGTCTTGTCTATCCGATTAGCAGTCCAGGGTCTTCTTCCAAATTCAGCAACAAGGTGAGCCCTCCGAGCACTGCGTGAAGCTGCAACGATCGCCATCTGCTAAGGGAATGACAAATACCGGTCTTCACTTGTGACAATGCTCGTCTGAGTAGTGCACCATGATAAGTAGTCCCTATTGATTGCTATTACTACGGTGTCATTTGTCGTTCAAGTTTCCCCAGGGTGGATGTAAGATCCCAGACTGAGAGCGATGCTTGGAGGGGGGACCCCCTAATGCAGAGTAAGGGAGCGATGCTTGGACGACCCCTTGAATTGATTCAGGGAAAGAGAGCAATGCTTGGGTGACTCATTCCTTGTCGTTTGTTGAATCGATGAGAGAGTTCTTTTGTAGGTCTGCTCATTCATGCCAGTGATCGGAGGGTTGCACCTATTTTCTCGTGTGACGAGGAGCCCAAGGTGCCCCCCACCTGCTGCGATTCGAGGGAGGTCAAAGTGACATGTCATCTTAATGGTCTCTGAACATCATGGATGGTGAGGAAGGCAAGACTTCCACTTTGCTTCGTCTTGATGAATGATTATTGACGAGGGTGGCATGTGATTGCATTCGGGCTTCCAAGCTATGCATCGATACGTGCCTCTCTAACATTGTGGTCTCTGAACATCATGGATGGTGTTTTCATTGAGAGCATGTCATCTTAATGGTCTCTGAACATCATGGATGGTGAGGAAGGCAAGACTTCCACTTTGCTTCGTCTTGATGAATGATTATTGACGAGGGTGACATGTGATTGCATTTGGGCTTCCAAGCTATGCATCGATACGTGCCTCTCTAACATTGTGAGAGCATCGCTTGATCGTAGGTGGTTTGGAAAGATAGACAATCTCGTTCCTCTGCACAAACATGGCCATATACCAGGATGACGAGCTTGACGTAGAAGATGCGCAAGTTACGGAATCTCCACCTTGTGATGGCATGTGCGACCGACCATGATTTATTCTTAGGAGTGAGAGTCCCGAGCTCGGAGCTTGGGCGGGCTCTCACCTATTGATGAGCCCATACGTAAGCCATGCACTGTCACGCGCACACAACCTCGGTGAGGGGGGCAGCCCTGGACGAACTTGACTTGGAGGTAGCCCTGCACGAACTTGGGCTGGAGATGAGTGTGCGTAACTCGACATGGATGGTGAGGTGATGATCGGTGGCCTCGCCATGACCACGTACTTGGTTTGAATTGTAAAGAAGAGCTTGAACCAGCTTCAGGTAGTCTAGGCTCAGGAGTGGATGGAGAAAACATAGGATGCCTTGAAGGTGCACATCTTGCCTTGGAGAAAATGATCGGAGCATACCCAAGCGTGGCTGTGACCAAAGATATGAAAGTTTCATCCGAGCCTGTATCAAAGTAAGACCAGCTGGAGTCGTTGTCCTGAGATGCAAGGCATAAGGTAGTTGCAGCGTTAAAGCATTCCCAGTGATTTCAGAGTTCGCAAGATCTAGGCTCGAGGCCCAGCCACCAAAGCATGTCCGAGCGTTGAGGACATAGTAGATGAGGCAGTTTCCATGTTCAAGGTCTTCCTAAAGTTTCCGAACCTTGTCAATTCTTGGATCGAGGATCGGCGTCCGGAGTATGTCCAAGCTCAGTTGCGGACCAAGGAGGGTTGCAATTGGCGCGAAAGGAGGCCTTGTTCTCTTTTAGATGTGGCATGCATGATATGTAGACTACCCATGATGAGGCGGAGAAGATGGGCAATGATGATCTTGGAGTTGTTCTCCGCGATTGATTTATCGCCTGAGCTTGAATGCATCATTCGTTCTTTCAATTTTCTTACTCGTTTTTCATTCAAGAATACTTGGAGAACTAATCGGGGATCTGGCTTCCCACCTAGGCCGTCAGGGGCGGAAGGTTGGTAGGACCGACCTTGACCGCACCCTGCTTGGTAAGGCGGGCTGACCCGCACACTATTGATCTATGACTGATGAGTGTGCAAGCTGTTCGGCCATCGGTTAGACAACGGATGTACGAGAGGGGCTCGGGGCCTGATCTCTCGCATACCTTCGACCCGGAGGCCGGTCTTACATCTTGACTTGTACAGCTAGTTTCATACTTAGGAAACATTTTGGCTATTCCCTTTCTGAAAGTCGAACTGAAGTTGGCCAAACGTAAGGGCAAGGCCCTGCATGATCAGACCAGAACGGACCCGCACCGTTGATCCTGTCAAGCGCGTATGCGGGCTGCTAAGCCTAGCAACATTAGACAACTGATGTACGAAAGGGGTTCAGAGCACAACCTTTCGCATACCTTCAGCCTAGAGACCGGTCATATAGTTGCCGCATTGTTGATTGGATCATACGTGCATGCGAGCTGTTTAGACGGCAACGTCAGACAACGGATATACAAGAGGGTCTCGGGGCACGACCTCTCGCATACCTTTTCGACCCGGAGGCCGGTCTTATGGTCGCCATGACAGAGAATCTATTCCTAGACTTAGAAAATAGTTTGATCATTTCCTTGCCCGAGGATTGAGCCATGGTCGTCTAAACACCGAGAGCGGGGTATCATAGTATTTTTTTTCTCTCTCTTTTTGCGTTTTTTTTTTGTTTTTTTTTGTTTCTTTTTTTTTTGCCGCCGCCCGTTCATTTCCAAGTGAGGTCGGACCTCATTAAGTTCCAGACTAGAAAACGAAAGATTTTCTTTTTTTAAGTAATAAAAGAATTTGAGAACTTGAGGAGTTGCCTCGAGTTCTACACTTGATTTACAATTTGTGATGATGGACTCATAGAATGAGAGAGAGCTGATCTGCAATCCACACTTGATCAACGAGCTTGAGGTGCCCCGCTCACAAGATTAGAAAAGGTGCCCGGCGCTCAGCATTTGATCTGCGAGCTTACAGTGCTCCGCTCATAGAATTTGACAAGGTGCCCTACGCTACATTCTTGATCAACAAGCGTGCAATGCTCCGCTCCTAAATTTTGCCAAGGTGCCATGCACTTTGTACTTGATCAACAAGCTTGCGGTGTTCCGCTCATAGGATTTGGCAAGGTGCTCTGCACTCGGTCGTAAGTCTTGCACCTAAGTTGACCTTCCATTCCGGTCTCTCGGGGTTGACCTGGATTTCTTCGACTAGTCATGCTCAAGGTGTATGGCTGCACGTCAGTGAGTCACAGCCGACCACCCGGGCCATAGAAGATATGTGACATCTTCGTCTTCAATCTGTCATTCTCCGCGCGTAGGAGCACGAGAGCACGGGCGTACGGGAGCACAGGAGCACGGACGCACTGGAGCACGGGAGCACGGGCGCACGGGAACACCGGTGTACGGGCGTACGGGAGAACGAGAACATGGGCGTACGGGCATACGGGAGCACGGGCGTACGGGCGTACATGAGCACAGGCGTACGGGAGTACGGGCGTATAGGCGCACTGACGTACGGGTGTACGGGCGCACAA